CCAATCCCCGGCTGAACGGTGAACCTTGGAAGTGACTTCACCACTGAACTAAAAGGGTGTCCGGGGGCCATACTCTTGGGGTTTCTCCAGTCTCTGTCAGTCCAGTAAATCTGGTCTTTTTTGTGTGTGTGAGAATTTTGTTCTACATCCTTCTCCGGCTCTGCCCAGAACACTCTGTTGTGATCCCGGTCAGATCTGTCAGTGGTGGTAGCTGGGCACCATCTAGTTGTACTGGACTCAGTCTGGTGGAGGCCTTGGTAAGTGTGGTCCATTAGTCCTTTGGACTAATCTTTCCCTTGTTTCTTTGGTTTTCTTCATTCTCCCTTGCTCCTGAAGTGGTGAGACCAGTGGAGTATCTTCAATGGCTGCTCACAGGCTTTTAAGACCCCAGACACTACTCGCCAAGGAAGAATGTAGAACATTGTCTTTATAAACTGTTATGCCAGTTGAGCTAGATGTTCCCTGAGACCATGCTCCCCACAGCCCTCCGCCCAGCAATTCAGTCCCTCAGGGAGTCTGGATGTGTCTATGGAGCTTCCATGACCTTTCCTTGAGGTGTACAACTTACTGACAGCAACCGTACCCTCAACAATGTGATTTTTCCATCACTGTTAACCCCCCTTTTCCCCTCCCTCCCTGGGTACCCACTAATAAACTTTGGTCTCTATACATTTGCCTTTTCTTGTCTTTTTATATAAATGAGGTTATACAGTATTTGTCCTCTTGTTATTGACTTATTTCACTCAGCATAATGTCTTCCAGCGCCATCCATATGGTAGCGTGTATCAAGACTTCATTTCTTCTACTGGCTGAGTAGTATTCCATTGTATGCATGTACCGCATTTTGTTTATCCGTGCCTTTGCTGATGGGCTTTAGATTGTTTTCACCTTTTGGCTATTGTGAATAGTGCTGCAATGAACACTGGAGTGTAAGTCTCTGAGCCTCTGCTTTCAAGCTTTTGGGGTATATACCTAGGAGTGGAATTGCTGGGTCGTATGGTAGTTCTATGTTTAGTTTTTTGAGGAACTGCCACAGTTTTCCACAATGGCTGTAACATTTTCATTCCCACCAGCAATGGATAATGGTTCCAATTTCCCCACATCCTCACCAACATTTTTTTTTTTAAATCTTACCCATCCTAGTGGGAGTGAAATGATATCTCATTGTGGTTTTGATTTGCAGCTCCCTGATGGCTAATGACACTGAGCATCTTTTCATCTGTTTGCTGGCCATTGGAATGTCCTGTTTGGTGAAATGTCTCTTCAAGTCCTTTGGCCATTTTATGATTGGGTTTTCTTTGTTGTTGTTAAGTTGTCGAAGTTTTGTATATTTTTTGGTTATTAGATTCTTATTGGGTATATGGTTTCTGAAGATACCCTCCCAGTTGGTAGCTTGTCTTTTCACTTTTTAGGTAAAGTCTTTTGATGAGGCAAAGTTTTTAATTTTTAGGGGGTCCCATTTATATTTTGTCTTTTGCTGTTTGTGGTTTTGTCGTTATATTAGATAATCCATTGTTGAAAACTAGGCCTGACAGCATTGCCCCTGCTTCTTGTTCTTCTAAGAATTTTATGGTTTTAGTTTGCACATTTAGGTCCTTAATCCATTTTGAATTTGCTTTTGCACATGGTGTGAGGCATGGGTCCTGTTCCATTTTTCTGCATGGGGAAATCCAGTTTTCCCAACACCATTTACTGAAGAGACTCTTCTTTTCTCATGGAATGGACTTAGCACCCTTGTGAAAAATCAGTTGACCACAGATGTGTGGGTTTATTTCTGGACTCTCAATTCTATTCCATTGGTCTTCGGGTCTCTTGTTATACCAGTACCAGGCTCTTTTGATTACTGTAGCTATATTTTTTAAAACCAGGAAATGTGAGTCCTCCTGCTTTGTTCGTCTCTTTTTTCTTTTTGAGTGGTTGAATTTTATTGCATCTTAAAAATATCACCCATAGGTCTTAGGAATCATCAGGCCTCGTTTCCATAGCTGAACAGCTCTTAGATCATACTGTCAGCCTGTTGAATGGTTCCTTTTTCAGAGACATAGATATCATCCAAAAATTTTCAGATGTCCTTGTTTTTAACTGTTGTGGCTTGCTGAATTAAAGGAGCTGAATTTGATGCAAGTTCAGTGCCAATTTCCTTCAAGAATTAACTTATCTTTATCGGCTTGAGATACTGAACAAGCAACACCTGGCCTCATCCAGATGCTATGGATGTATTTTTTACCCGAGAAGTTTCAGATTTCAACCAGAGACCCGCTGTCCTGAATAACAACGTTGACAGGGAAGACAGCATACACAGACCTCATCTTGTAACGGAAGCTGGTGTAACACCCTTGACCATGTTCTGTACGTGACTACAGAGAGTGGGAACTGCAGCCAGTGACTTTCTGTTTCCCCACCGTTTGTCAACGCGAAGCCTCTTCTTTTTCTTTCCGTGGAGACTGAGTTCTACTTGGACGTGATGGAAGTCCCTCCGCAGGGTTCCTCCGGGGCCCTTCACAATAACCACACGTCCCTTCAGAGTGATGTCGACATTTTCTGGAATGTTGACAGTCCGGTTGCTGAGAAGGGTCTTTGCTCTCACAGTACATGTAGCAAAAGAGCTGTTTTTCTTTTTCAACATTGCTTTAGCTATTCCATATGAAGTTGAGGATTGGTTTTTACATTTCTGTAAAGAACGCTGTTTGGATACTTGATGGGAATTCTGTTGAATCTATAGATCACTTTGGGTAGTATTGACATCTTAGCAATATTAAGTCTTCCAATCCATGAACATGGGACATCTTTCCACTTATTTAAATTTTCTTTAATCTCTTTCAGCAGTGTTTTATAATTTTCATTGCAGAAGTCCTTTATGTTCCTGGTTTGATTTATTCCTAGGTATTGTATTCTCTTAGATGCTACTGTAAATGGAATTGCTTCCCTAATTTCTCTTTCATTTCTCATTGTGGGTGTATAGAAACCCAACTCATTTTTGTCTGTTGAAAGGTCAGTTTTGCTAAATTCCCCTGTTAGCTCTAAAAGTTTTCTTGCGGTAGGCTGTGATATTTATAGGATCAAATTACCAGCTCTTTTCTCCCATGAGACCAGTTTGGGAATCCCCAAGTGGCCTCACCCCTGACTAGATCAAGGCTGAAATATACCAGCCATTCCTCCTTGGGCAAGCAGGTTCACCTTCTAAGCCTTAGTTTCATCCTCTATAAAGCAGGGATAGTAATAGTATTAAGTGCACAGGATTGTCTGAGGATTGATGAAATTAATCATATGGAGTGCTTGTGACAGAGTCAACAATGCGTGTCCTTGTGATTGAAGTTCCCCATACTTACCCCCTGGGCCCTTATTACCGTTTCTGTTTATACAGCCATTCGTGTGGTTGTTTAATGTCTGCCTCCCCACCGGAAGGTTAATTCCTGAGGGCAGGAACCGTATCTGATAGTCTTTGCTCTACACCAGCTCCAGCCAGTGCCCAGATTACTCATTTAGTCACCAGTGTTTATTGGGCGCCCGCTGACGCCGGCTATAGTTCTGGGTGCTGCGGACAGAGTGGCAGCCAAGACCTCTGGTCTGGGGTGTGAACAGGAGGAGTTTAGATAGTGTGAGGTGTGACTTTAGAAGCGGAGGCCTCTAGACTGGGTGGCCAGGGAAGAAGGAGCATTTGAGCTGAATGGTAAGACGGAGCCAATTAATGCTGAAGGGCATTCCAGGCAGAGGGAACAGCAAGCATGGAGGCCTTGACGTGGAAATGAAGTTGGTGAGCTCAAGGGACAAAAGGAAGCCAGGATGGCTGGAATGGAGGGAGTGATGGGGAGGGGAAGGGCATGAGGTCAAGGAGATCACTAGGGCCTTGGTGGCCATAGTGAGGGCTTTGATTCTTACCTGGAGTGGGGTGCAGCTGGAGAAGAGGGCTCTGAGCTGAGGAGGGCCCTACCTGACTCAGGAGTTCACAGGCTCCCTCTGACTGCATGTGGGGAACAGGCTGTTGGGGCAGGGACAGGAACAGAGAGATCAGGGAGAAGGCTGCTGTGATGGTCCAGACCAGAGAGGATAGAGACTGGATTAAGTTGGGAGCAGTGGAGGGGGAGAAGTGGATATGATGGAAATAGATTTTGGAGGTGGAGCTGACAGGTCTTGCTGAAAGGTTAGAAATGAAGGATGAGGAAAAGAGAAATTAAGAAAGATGCTTAGGCTTATGGCTCAAGCCATAATATTCTGAGTGAATAGTAGCCACACAATATATATTTGTTGTATGAATGAATTAATGAGTTAAAAAAAATAGTGGGCATCATTGAGAGCTTGCTCTGCACCAGGCACTGGTAGAAGTACTTTACGTGTATTGATCCATTTAACCCTCAAAATGATGAGATAAAGTCATTTATTTATCATCCCTGGTTACTGATGAGGTAACTGAGGCACAGAGAGGTTAGAAACCACTGTTAGGAAGTGGAGTAGGGTGAGTGGATGAATGGGTGGATAGATGGGTGGATGGATGGGATGGGTGGGTGGATGGATGGGTGGATGGATGGGTGGATGGATGGGATGGGTGGATGGATGGGATGGGTGGATGGATGTGATGGGTGGGTGGATGGATGTGATGGGTGGATGGATGGGTGGATGAATGTGATGGATAAATGGATGGGTGGGTGGGTAGATGTGATGGGTGGACGGATGGATGAATGGATGAATAGGTGGATGGATGGGTGGATGGATGTGATGGATGGATGGGTGGGTGGGTGGATGGATGAATGGATGAATAGGTGGATGGATGGGTAGATGGATGAATGTGATGGGTGGATGGATGTGATTGGTGGGTGGATGGATGGATGGGTGGGTGGGTGGATGGATGGATGGGTGGATGGATGGATGGGTTGATGGATGGATGGATGGCTGCCTGGCTGGCTAGGTGGGCAGATGGGTGGGGGTGGATGAGGATCAATGGGCTGATAAGTGAGTCTCTAAAATAGAACCTGTTCCCATGCCCCAGTCTGCTTTTCCCCATAATGGCCCTTTTCCTCTTCCCTCCCAGCACCACCCCCCACTCTGGCCGGAGCACACCCAGCAGCTCCCCGTCCCTCCGTAAGCGGCTGCAACTCCTGCCTCCAAGCCGGCCCCCACCTGAGCCTGAACCAGTCACCATGGTGGAGAAAGGGTCAGATAGCTCCTCAGAGAAGGGTGGGGTGCCTGGGACCCCTAGCACCCAGAGCCTGGGCGGCCGGAACTTCATCCGCAACAGCAAGGTGGGTGCAAGCCCAGGTGGGATGGGAAGAGAGGCGGGACGGGGGATTCAGGAGCTCACTCTGACGCCTCTCTTTTCTCTTGCAGAAAATGCAGAGTTGGTATAGTGTAAGTGTCTGGGCAAGCGAGCTTGGAGGGTGGGTGGGTGACTGGTGTCAGTGCCGGGCCGGGAGCCCCAGGCTGCAGCAGTCAAGGAGTGGGCGCTGGGGTCAGCAGACCTAGGGTTACATCCTACGCTGCCACTTACCTGCTCTGTGATCTTGGGTGAGTCGCTTCAGCTCTTTTGGCCTCATTCCTTCTCCTTAAGAAACAGTCCTGACCCTACAGGGCTGAAGGGAGCATTCAGGGAGAATCTGCCAAGCTGGCGGGTACCAGGCACAGGGTCCAGCTTCTGTAAGACAGCAGTAAATGGCAGCTGTCATGGTTACTGTCGTTGTTATGGGCAGCAGGAGCCACAGGTGGGCTAGTTACTGAGACCTCAGAGAGCCCGTCGGGGTCTGAGGAGACTGGAGGGTTCTGGGAGTTTTGTGGGGCAGAATGGGGGGGTCTGACCCCCATCCAGGTACTCACCTGCCATGCTTCCCCCAGATGCTGAGCCCCACATACAAACAACGCAATGAAGATTTCCGGAAACTGTTCAGCAAGCTTCCTGAAGCAGAACGCCTCATTGTGGGTGAGACCTCACACCCTGACCCAACTCCTGACCCTGAGTTCTAGCTCCGCCCTCCCAGCTCTTTCCCCAGACCCCTGTGCTGGCCGGGACAGCCTTGTGACTCGGGTGTCTGCCTGTCTCTCCCATCGGCCGCTCTCAGATTACTCCTGTGCCCTGCAGCGCGAGATCCTCCTTCAGGGCCGCCTCTATCTCTCGGAGAACTGGATCTGCTTCTACAGCAACATCTTCCGCTGGGAGACAACAGTGAGCTGGAGCAGGGGATGAGGGGAGGCCTGGGGGCCGGGGGGCTTGCTCTTGTGACCCTCCTTTTCTCCTCAGATTTCTATCCAGCTGAAGGAAGTGACATGCCTGAAGAAAGAGAAGACAGCCAAGCTGATCCCCAACGCCATCCAGATCTGCACAGAGAGCGAGAAGGTGAGCAGGGGACCTGATCACAAGGGACCATATGGTCACTGATTTTAGCAGCCTCCTGCCCCCTCTTACCCCAGAGGGTAAGGCCTGTTTATTCTGCATCCCTGCCCTGACCCAGGCTCCCCCCCGTCCCTGCCCTGACCCAGGCTCCCCCCGTCCCTGCCCTCCTCACACAGGTTCCCCCGTCCCTGCCCTGACCCAGCCTCCCCCATCCCTGCCCTGACCCAGGCTCCCCC